CCTTTAGCATTTCTTATATTGTTGGCTTGGTAGTGATAAACTCACTTAGCCTTTTTATGTCTGTGAAGCTCCTGATTTCCCCTTCAATTTTGAATTATAGCCTTGCTGGATAGAGTATTCTTGGATTTAGTCCCTTGCTTTGCATCACTTTGTATACTTCCTTCTATTCCTTTCTAGCTTGATGTGTTTCTGTTAAGAAATGGTTTGATAATCTAATGGGAGATCCCTTGTAGGTAATTTTCTGTCTCTCTCTTACAGCCTTTAAGATTCTCTCTTCGTCATTAATGTTTGCCATCATAATTACAATGTGTCTTGGTGTGGGTCTTTTTGGGTTCATCATTTTTGGGACTCTGTGCTTGTGTGACTTTCTTCTTCCCCAATTCAGGGAAGTTTTCTGACATTATTTCTTCAAGTAGGGTTTCTAACCATTGCTCTTCTTCTTGTCGTTCTCACCCCTATTATACATATGTTGCTTCATTCACGTTGTACCAAAGCTCCCTTAGGCTCTCCTCCTGCCTTTTATTTTTTTTCTCCAATTGCAGTTCAGATCGGATGTGTTTTTCTGCCCTGTCTTCTAATTCACTAATTTGGTCCTCCACTTCTTCTAGTCTACTGTTGAAACCTTCCATAGTGTTTTTTATTGGAGCTATATCACTATTTATTTCCTTTTGATTCTGATATAAGTTGTTGATTTTCTCATCCATCTGATTTATGAACTGTATGACCCTTACTCTAAATTCTTTTTCTGACAAATTTTGTGCCTCTGTTTCATTTAGTTCATTTTCTGGCGATTCCTCCTTTTCTTTCCTTTGGGGGTTGTTTCTTTGTCTCCCTATTTTGCTCTCACCAAATGATCTTGCCATCAAGTTGCACTGGAGCTGTGACTGCAGCAGCAGGCTTGGCGACGGATAGCATGGTCACCAGTCACAGGGTCGATTCGTCGAGCTTGGTGGTGATTTGAGCAGTAGTGCCACCCGGGGTTGCTGTGTGAGGCACCCAGTGTTGCTGCGTAGGGCTTGGTTGCGGCTCCCGGGGTTGCTACGTTGGGCTTGGTGTCAGCTAGCGTGGTAGTGGCATCCGGGATTGCTGCATAAGGGTTGGCTGTTTGTGTGTGGTTGTGGAGCCTGGGATTGCTGTTTAAGGCTTGGCTGTTACTACACTGTCATGGTGCCTGGGGCTAAAGTGTCTGGCTGGCAGGATGGGAGCACTCTCTGGAACTCATAAGAGCCCGCGGCCAGGGAGGCTGGCATCTCAGTGTTTGTGGGTCTGCAGCCAAGGCAGCAGGTCCTTGGCCAGAGTGGCTGTAGGGTCCCGGGTGTTGTGCAAGGGCTCCCTGGGTGGAGGTGAGGCTGGGCTCCCAGTCACAGCAGCTCTCCCCTGCAAGATGGCGTGGCCTCTGTGGTAGAGCTGGCAGTGCCAGCCATCCCAGGATAGATTGTAGCAGTAGCAGAGGCTGCTTGGCTAGGGGAGCCTGATCCTCTAGTCTCCAAAAGTCCTGCAGAATCTATCTGTCCCTTACGTCCCCCCCCCACATGTCCAGGTACTCCCCCTTCGCTGCCTTACTCACTCACATTCTCTCCTTCACTGCCATCCTTCCGGCCGCCATCTTCTCCATACTCCTTAAAAATTTTTGATAAAATATACATAAAGAATTTACCATCTTCATCAATTTTAAGTATACAATTCAGTGGCATTAATTACATTTTTATTTTTGTGCAACCATCATCACCATTGGTCTCCAGAACTCTTCATATTGCAAAATTGAAACTCTGTATTCATTAAAAAATAACTTCCCATTCCTTCCTTTCCTAGCCCCTGGTAACCTTCATTCTATTTTCTATATCTATGAATTTGACTACTGTAGGTACCTCATATAAGTGGAATCATACAGTATTTATCCTCCTGTGACTGGCTTATTTGACAGCATAATGTCTTCCAGGTCCTTCCATGTTGTAGCATATTTCAAGACTTCCTTCCTATTTAAGGTGGAATATTATTCCATATTATGTATGTACTACATTTTGTCCATTCATCTGTTGATTGATACTTGGATTGCTTCTGCCTTCTGTCTACTGTGAATAATGCTTCTCAACAGCATTACATATTTTTAGAGATATAAGCACCCCTTTCCTTTTGACTTGGTCAGATAACTAAGGAAAGTTTTGCTTAAAGACAAACTAATTGCTTTCAGGTGTTAGAGAAATTTGAATATACTATTAAATAGTATATATTATATTAAACAAAAATTTACAAGTTATATGCATTATTTGCATGAAAATGAATGCTTCTTTAGTGTTGAGAATACATGAAACAAACATTTCTTTTAAGTAGCTTAATTTTTTCTCCTAAAATGATACCTATGTTCTCACGTTTACTAAACAAGCATTTACTTTATAGATTATCTTAATTGGGCACTTCAATCTAGCCTCTGCTTTATGATTATAATTAGTGGTAATTGTGAATTAGTGGTGACTTAATGTGGTTTTATGCTTTATTTACTTATTTTCATTTTTAAGTATATTTTTTATTTATTTCAGAGAGGAAGGAAAAGAAAGATAGAAACATCAATGATTAGAGAAAATCATTGATCAGCTGCCTCCTGCAAGGCCCCTACTGGGGATGGAGCCTGCAACCTGGGCATGTGCTCTGACCAGGAATTGAACTCGGGACCCTTGAGTCCACAGGCCGATGCTCTATCCACTGAGCCAAACCGGATAGGGATATGCTTTATTTTACAAGTGGTATAAACGTGTGACATACTATCACTGTTGAGGTTGGGGGATTTTACTGAAGCTCACAGTGTTTTCCAAACTCTGTTCCAAATAGAACTGCCATGGGGGCTTATTCCTCACCCAGATCCCTCTCTGCAATTCCTTCCTTATCTGCTTTTGGTAGTTGTTTTCAAAAGGTTTCTGATTTCTTTTAAAGAAAGGGTTCTCAATGGGGAAAATAATTAAAATCTCCCAATTTAGAATTAAAATATTTCTTGCATTCTTTAGTTACAAATTTACTACCTAGTACAGCACTTGTAGGTGCACAGGGATAATAACAGTTTTTAGATTAGTAGATGATAATTTATCCTTATAAGAACCTTGCATTCTTTTCTTTGGTGTAGGTATAGTTTGTCTAAGTGCTAGTTTATTCTGTCTTTAACTAGAGTGCTTACCAACTTACTTGGCAAGTCTGTGTTATATTGTATAAAATATATAGGTTACATTAAAATATAATACTAGCATATTATTTATATTACTAGTCCTATACTGTAACCTACCTATAGAGGCTCTTTGTTTAGTGATACACTAAATCTCTTGGTTCAGAGTTATACCATTTTTCCTTTGAGTTCCTTTAAGACTCTTGCTTAGATGCCATAATTCTCCATGATAAATCTTCCTTAAAAATTCTGCACTTTAAGTCTATTATATAGTGAAGATTTATCATCATTTGATTTAATAATTTGGATTATTTTGATTCAAAAGATAATTTGGGAATGGGAATTCTCACTCAAATTTCTTTTGGTAAAGATTAAGGCAAATAATTTTATCTCTTTCCAAATGCATTGGAGAATGTGTATTTTGTTGGTTGGAGTGTTCTATAAATGTCAGGTCATATTAGTTGAGACTGTTGTTCAGGTGTACTGTATCCTTGCAAATTTCCTGTCTACTTGTTCTATAAATAACTAAGAGAGAGGTTGTGGAATGTCTGACTAAAACTGTAGATTTGCTTATTTCTCCTTCTAGTTCTATCAGTTTTTGTTTCATGTATTTTGAAGCTCTGTAATCAGGTACATAAGCATTTAGGATCATTATGTTCTCTTGATGTATTTATTGATGTTTGATCATCAGATGATCTTCTTAATATCTAGTAATATTCTTGATTCTGAAATCTACTTTTTTGAAAACTAGCTTCCTTTGAGTAATTTTAACATGGCATATCTTTTTCTATCCATTTGCTTTTAATGCACGTGTACCTTTATGTTTAAAGTGTGTTTATTTTAGGCAATATTGCATATACTTGGGTCTTAATTTTGTATCCAATTTGATAATCACTAACTTTTAATTGGGGTGTCAAGATTATGTATATTTAATGTGATTATTCATATAGCTGGGTTTAAATATACTATTGTACTATTTGTTTTCTATTTGTCCCATTATTTTTTCCTTCCAGTTTTACTTTCTTGTGGGTTGAATATTTATAATTCCACTCTCTCTCCTTTGCCATTGTCATATTTTATTGTACATTGAATTTTTATATCCTTATATCTTTAATCACTTAAATTCAGCCAAGTAAGAATTACAACTAAACCTCTTTAAAAATTTCTATTAGCAAGATAAATTCTAAGGCCACCCTACAACTTTCCTCCTAAAATAATTTTTCAATCACCATTTAGCACTAAATGTTTATTAAGCTAGTATTCTGTGTATGTGTGCTAGGCTGGGTTTAGAGTGCAACCTTAAGTATGTGTAAGGCTTATCCCTGCACATAGGTGGGTTTCATTCTCAATGTTCCTCATGCTCCAGGCTGTAGAAAGGGTCATGGAATAGGGTGTACATTTGAATTTTAACCCACAGAGAATTTATGGTCAGTCTTTCTTTGCATTGGTAGGATTTCTATACCATTGTTGCTATTATTGCTTATGTTGTGTCTTCACAAATCTATTAGAATATCATTTATTTCCACTTGCTGTTAAACCGCCAATTATCCACTTTAAGTCTTAGCATTGCTAAAGAAACAGAGATATCAACTATATTTTTGGTTGTACATTCCATGAAATTTTCTTCTAACTATATTAACTTACTTTGTTCTCCCCCCATATCCATTTAGGATCTATTCTGTCACTTTTTAAACTTAGGAGCTTGGTGCCATTTTGGTTTATGTAGAGGTATCATCCTTATAAAAGTTACATTGGCCAAAAACTCTCTCCTAACATATTTAAAAATTATCTTTCTTGCATTATTGTCACACAAATTATTAATTTGCTTGATTTTTAAATACTGTTTTAGGTGGCCGGGGAAAGGACAATGCTTGGATCATTACATTTCCAGAAAATTGTAATTTCAGATGCATACCAGAAGAAGTGATAACAAAAGTACTGACTTATTTGACATCTATTGCAAGGTATAGCATTTTCTAACAGTTTTCAATTTGTTTTAGATACCCATATGAATGTAATAACAGGACAATGGCTTTTAAGTGTGACTTTTATTATTATTGTAAATGATCATAAGAATCACCTTCAGAGCAGATAAGGAATAGAAGGGGAAGCAGTCAGCTAACTAAATAGCTATAAAAATTATATGGGGGATTTCTGAATACAATATTGGGGGTCTAGAAGTATTTGTCCCCATGAAGAACATAAGTTGAAATTTACAATAGTGTATAACGCTTCAATTTGTATAAAAGGAAATCTTACTAGCCATGAGTGAGGGCAGCTATTCTTCATTTCTTCCAAGGGTAAAATAAGAAGACTAAATGTCAAATAGACTCAAAAGTGATATTGTAATATATTAGGAGGAACTTATTGATATTGGAGAACATTTGAGACTTGAACACTGTAAGAGGGAATCTTTCAAAAGCTCCTTTAAAGATCTTATTTAGGTTGAAGATAAATTTGTTAAAGGAAACATTTTACAGTTGCTAACCCTGAAGACTAAGGGGGCACAAATCTAGGATGGTAAAATTGTGAAGAGTCTCATGGACAAATATCAAATTCTAAAAAACTAAATTTACAGAACACCCCTTGAAGTTTGAAAGTGGTCTTTTTAGGGCAAATATAAATTCTAGCTTTGAAAAGCTTTTGGCTTGGAGGAGGCTTAGGTGCAACTTTCTTTGGTTGTCTCTATTCTGGGTTCATCCAATACCTGCTGCCTCCACCATGCTGCTGAAGTTTGACCCCAATGAAATCAAAGTCATATACCTTAGCTGCTATAGTGAGGAAGTTGGTGCCACATATGCCCTGATCCCCAAGATCAGCCCCCTGTGTCTGTCTCCAAAATAAATGTTGGTGTTTACATGGCCAAAGCAATTGTTGATTGGAAGAGTCTGGGGATTACAGTGAAACTGACCATTTAGAACAAACAGGCCCATATTGAGGCAGTACCTTCTGCCTCTGTCCTGATCATCAAAGCCCTCAAAGAACTGCCAAGAGGCAGAAAGAAGGAAGAAAAACCGCATTAAGCACAGTGGAAATATCACTTTTGATGAGATTATTAACATTTTCTGACAGATGTGGCACTGATGTTTAACTATATAACTCTCTGTAACCATATGGAGATCATGGGGACTGCCCAGTTTGTGGGCTGCAAGGTTGATGGCTGCCACCCTCATGATGTCATAGATGTCAACAGTGGTGCAGTGGAATGCCCTGCTAGTTAAGAACTACAAAGGAAAATGTTTCAAGTAAAGATCAACCAAAAAAAAAAGTTCTGTTATTCACTAAACTGCATTCCCTAAAATGGTAGACAAAAGATTAAAACATATTTAATAATATTTTTCTGAATAAATGAATAAATGAATTATTGTTGGCTTATGATGGATTGCCATGGAAAGTTAAATCTGATGTCATGAAAGACAGCTGTCTGTAAGGTTTACCCATACCCATGATTGCAGTATTCCAAATCCATTTTAGTAACCTATCTGCATTACACTGTCACTTGCCTATTTTAAACATTGACATTAATGCTGAAAAAGATATTTTAAATAGTGAGTCATGGAATAAATTGGTTTTCCAAAGTAGCACTTAGTGATAGCTTCCAAATCCCAAACTGTCTTTAGTTAAGACATCAAATTAAATGAAATATCAGAAGTAAGGATGTATCTAGCAAATTTGGATTATTATTAATAAATACATATTATTTTCCTTATTTTGCAGGAAAAATGGATCTGACTCCCGGTTTACCATTATTCTTGATCGAAGATTGGATACATGGTCTTCTATCAAAGTCTCTCTCCAAAAAATCTCTGTAAATACAAATGCATTTTTAGTAACTTATTTTTGTTTTATGTTATATGTTCTGCTTGTGGGGATATAGAATATTTTGATACTGATGGAGATAAAAAATTACTGATGGAGACAATAAAATAGATGTTGTGGTGAGGCAGGAAAGTAGGAAGAAGAGTTGGTACAGGAGATTGAGCTAAACAACTCCACCCAAAATAAAACCTAATGGGAAAGAATGAGTAAATGGTTCCAGTTATGAGTGGAAGAGACTCATGGTTCCCTATGACTTTCAGAGCAAGGCAAGTTTTTATGGGAACTTTTAAAACTGGAAATAGCTGTATTGTATACTCATTGTAATATGGAAAAGTATAAAGAAGAAAGTTTAAAACAGTAGTTAATAATACAACCATCCCAAAATAACATTTTTTTAAAAATATATATTATTGATTTTTCACAGAGAGGAAAGGAGAGGGATAGAGAGTTAGAAATATTGATGAGAGAGAAACATCGATCAGCTGTCTCCTGCACACCTCCTACTGGGGATGTGCCCGCAGCCAAGGTACATGCCCTTGGCCAGAATCGAACCTGGGACCTTTCAGTCTGCAGGCTGACGCTCTATCCACTGAGCCAAACCGGTTAGGGCCCAAAATAACATTTTTAACAAGTGTATCTTTCCAGGCTCCCCCCACACCCCACACCTGGGATAGAGTTAGGAAGTGAGTCACTTATAAAATGACATATATACCTTTTTGGAATCTAGTTCCCAGCTTTCTAAGATCCAGATAAAACAGTTTCCCTAAAGGAAACATTATGAGAGACGCAATCCTGCCCACAGGGAAGATGATCTTTTACATTGTTAGGCTCACCTAGATATAGTGGCATTGTTTGAACCTTCTCTTTCATAAAAGAGGAGGGTGATGAAGAACTCGTAGACTCCTTCTGAGCTGGCAAGAGTAGGGCTGTCTGTGGAAGTACCATGTCATCAACTTTCAATCAGACCAGAGTAGCTGGGAATCAATATATTTTTTCTTTGGGAGTCTAACATCGTCAACCATCTGAAATTCTATTTGTCTCCTGACTGACACAGGAGGCCACACCCAGCAGATCAAGTTGATTTGTGAATGCAAGACAAAAATCTAGGTTGTTAGGCTTCTGAGCCTGGGTTCTTTTTACTATACTAAGTTGCTAACAAGTGTAAAAAATCCAGTTGATACTTGAACAACACGGCTTTGAACTACGTGGGTTCACTTACACACGTATTTTTTTCAATGAATACCATAAATGTATTTTCCTTCCTTATGATTGTCTTAATAAAGTTTTCTTTTCTCTATCTTACTTTATTTTAAGAATATAGTATATAACACATATAATATGCAAAATATGTGTTAATCTACTGTTTATATTATGGGTAAGACTTCCAGTCAACATTAGGCTATTAGTAGTTAAGTTTTGGGCAGTCAAAAGTGATATATATGTGTGTATGTATATGTATATTAAACTATGTGGGTGCTTGGGCCACTAATCCTGGCATTGTTTAAGGGTCAGCTGTGTACTGAACTCACATGGTGAAATGAATGAGATTATTATTCTTTTCATAACCAGTATGAATTACTACTCATCTTAGGTAAGTCAGCAACTTGTTTTTTTAAAATTTCTTTAACAGAGGTGTTTAATCATAAGCAATGGAGAGAAGAGTTGATTCACACAAGTTACTCAAATAAAATTACAAAGCCTTGACTTTGTATAATATCTTTTTGCCTTTTCAAAAGTAGTCACATTTTTGCTGAACCAGTTTGGCTTAGTGGATAGAGCGTCGGCCTGTGGTCTGAAGGGTCCCAGGTTCGATTCCGGTCAAGGGCATGTACCTTGGTTGCGGGCACATCCCCAGTGGGGGGCGTGCAGAAGGCCGCTGATCAATCTCTCTCATCGATGTTTCTAGCTCTCTATCCCTCTCCCTTCTTCTCTGTGGAAAATCAATAAAATATATTTAAAAAAAAGTAGTCACATTTTTAAAGTAATGTTGATTCTCTTTATTTCTTTTTTTAAAAATAAATCTTAATTGTTCAGATTATTACAGTTGTTCCTCTTTTTCCCCCCATAGCTCCCCTCCACCGGTTCCCAACCCACCCCTTGCCCTTAACCCTCCCTGTCCATAGGTGTACGATTTTTGTCCAGTCTCTTCCCCCACCCCCCCACACTCCCTTCCTCCTGAGAATTGTCAGTCCACTCCCTTTCTATGCCCCTGTTTCTATTCTATTCACCACTTTATTCTGTTCATCAGATTTTTTATTCACTTGATTTTTAGATTCACTTGTTGATAGATATGTATTTGTTGTCACTTTGTTGTTCATAATTTTTATCTTTACCTTTTTCTTCTTCTTCCTCTTCTTAAAGAATACCCTTCAGCATTTCATATAATACTGGTTTGGTGGTGATGAACTCCTTTAGCTTTTTCTTTTCTGTGAAGCTCTTTATCTGACCTTCAATTCTAAATTATAGCTTTACTGGGTAGAGTAATCTTGGTTGTAGGTTCTTGCTATTCATTACTTTGAATATTTCTTGCCACTCCCTTCTGGCCTGCATAGTTTCTGTTGAGAAATCAGCTGACAGTTGTATGGGTACTCCCTTGTAGGTAACTAACTGTTTTTCTCTTGCTGCTTTTAAGATTCTCTCTTTGTCTTTAGCCCTTGGCATTTTAATTATGATGTGTCTTGGTGTGGTCCTCTTTGGATTCCTTTTGCTTGGGGTTCTCTGTGCTTCCTGGACGTGTAAGTCTATTTCTTTCACCAGGTAGGGGAAGTTTTCTGTCATTATTTCTTCAAATAGGTTTTCAATATCTTGCTCTCTCTCTTCTTCTGGCACACCTATAATTCAGATGTTGGTATGCTTGAAGTTGTCCCAGAGGCTCCTTGTGCTATCTTCATATTTTTGTATTCTTTTTTCCTTTTGCTTTTCTGGTTGGGTGTTTTTTTTTGCTTCTTTGTATTTCAAATCTTTGACTTGATTCTTGGGATCCCCTAGTCTGCTGTTGGATCTCTGTATATTATTCTTTATTTCAGTCAGTGTATGCTTAATTTCTAATTGGTCCTTTTTCATATCCTTTTTCATATCTCACTATATTTCTCAGAGGTTTCTAGAAGATTCTTGAGTAACCTTATAACTGTGGTTTTGAACTCTATATCCAGTAGTTTGCTTTCCTCCATTTCTTTCATTTGTGACCTGTTTCTTTGTCTCTGCATTTTGGCTGCTTCCCTGTGTTGATAGAGTGGCTTTGTGTGATAGGTGTCCTATAGGGCCCAGTGGCTCAGCCTCCCTAATTACCTGAGGTAGACACTCTTGGTGCACCCCTTTGTGGGCTTTGTGCAGAGTCTTCTTGTAGTTAAGCCTTGATTGCTGTTGGTATCATTGGGAGGAATTGACCTCCAGGTCAATTGGCTGTGAGGACCAGTTGTGGCTACAATGGGAGAACTTCTGTGCTGGAGACACCCTTATGGGGCAGGAGTTGCTTCAGTGGGGCTTTGGTGCTCACTGAGTCTGCCCCCTGAGTGTGTCTCTTATGGATGTGAAGAGTTGTAATCTGGATGGTCTCCCTCTGACCACTGGGTAGACTGGCTCTTGGATCTCCAAGGAGGTGCAAAGTCAACCACTGCCTGAGGCCACCCAGCAGAAGCTACAGAGATCTGCAGATTCTTCCTCTTTGTTTGGAGTTTGGAGGTGCCAGATGAGGGGCCACTGTGAAGTAATGCAGGCTGCTGAGAAGCCTTAGGCCTTCTTTTGGAATCTCTGGGATTCTCTGACCCAGCTACAGTTTGACAGGTTTTTAGGAGGAGAAAGGCCAGACCATTAGTATGCAAAAGCCTCTAAGCCTCTGCGCACAGCTTGGGTGGGGATGTAAATTGGGTGGGGCGGGGTCTCAGGGAATCACCAGGGTGGAGCAAACAGCAATGGCTGCCAGTCTGCTTTGCCTTGGAGAGGTCCTGGGGTCTGTGTCCCACGCCCCGCTGCAAGCAGTTCTGTGAGGAAGCTGCCCTCACGTTCTGGCCCGATGCCAGACAGTACAGTTTCTCTCAGTATGAGTCTGGGTCCCCAAATTTTCGCCTGCAGCTGGAGTTCAGAGCAGTTGGGAGCTTGTATCTTCCTCCCGATTGAAAAAGACAACAGTGTACCCAACTGCCAGCCCCTTTTGTGTGCCTCCATACCTCCACACTTCCACCTTCTGCCGGACTCAATGCGCTTTTCTCTTTCCTTCTAGTTGTAGAATTTCCACTCAGCCACCCTTCCTGTGGTTCTGGATGATATTCGTTTTGTCTTTTAGTTGTAGTTTTAATGTGGTTGTGTGCGGCAGCAAGTTCAGGTGTTTACCTATGCCGCCATATTGGTTCTCTCCGATTCTCTTTATTTCTTGGTTAAGTACTCTAGGCAGGTGTCATAATTGTCTTACCGATGAGGGAATTACATGGAGGTACACACTTTGGACAGGTTATGTGAGGTCAAATAGCTAAATAATAAGAAGAGGCAGAGCAAAAATTGAATTTTCATGAATTTCAGTTGGTATCTTTTCCACCTCCTGCTTTCTATCAATTTCCAAATGAATTGTGGATAGACAAATAAATTCAGTGTTTTTAAGAAAAAGGTAAAATGCCTTTGGGGATAGTAAATCTACCCTCCATATACTGTTGAGCCTCATCAATGAAGTAAAGCTATTTTGTATTAATCAAATTGGTTGCTTGTAATAGAGTCTTGTTTTTCCTAAAAGAGAAATATAGGACTCAGTTGTGATCCTATTGATTTGGGATTAACAGAGGAATACTGACTTGTTTTGGGGAGGTAATGCTCACCTTTCTGTTTTTTTAGGAATGCTGTCTTACTGGGGAAGAATGAGCCATGTTCAGCAAAGAGCTGGGCAATCAGGGTACCTTTATTCTCATAACTGCCAAATTGATGGCACTGGCATGAAGTGGGGGTTTAGGTATAACTGGCTATAGATTATTTTATGTGTTTCTTTTTAACATTTTAAACATT